ATTCTTTAGCACAGTTGAAAAGATTCTCCTACTAGGCATGCATTACCAGCTCGTGCTTGGCACAGATCCGGTCCACGGGCCAACGCCTGCCTTGATGTGTTCACCCCAAATTGGCCCCATCGGAGTTGAAACAGTGGATTTGAGCTGTCAGTCACACATGCGAAGCCAAAGTGTTTGACGGGAGCTATGGGCCTCAAGATTTTCCTGAAATCCCCTGAACATTGCCTTGATTACTGAACCTTCGCCAAAAAACTGAGAGTCTATTCAGCGAGTTTGGCGTGTCGGGGTTCATGATTCATTCGAGGCAAAGCCACCACATCTGGCCTATACTATACACAGGCGTCCGCCATTCATCGGAGTTCATCGCTGTCAACGCTCCGCGGCCATCCTCTTCCATCTGGCGGGCGGCAGAAGGAGAGATCACAAACTTGCCCGTCCAAACATCTTGGAGAGCGTTTGAGGGCCAGGGAAAACTAATGAATCTTACACCCGTTCGCTTGCCTACGCAAGTCCAGATCCCTAAACCTCCGACCCTTTCCAACTCCCGGTTCTCACAGCCAATGGATTTCCCACACGCTCGGCCTGTCAAGATTCGGCTGGCTGCAGGCTTGTCTGGTCTGTGGCCTCAACAACAGCCCCAGATCCTGGCGATTGCGCCATATCTGCTTGACTGGGAGGTTGACCATGAACTCTGATCATGATCAGCATGTATGAGCATCCAAGTACGGTGAAACCGTCGGCTTTTCTGAAATCGTAGGAAACCAATGGCAACACACATGCAAGACCATCAAGCTTCTTTGCATTCCCATTGCACAGCAGAATGCTCATCGTTGAAAACAGCCACGAGGAGGATTGATGCCCTGTTGACAAAGCCCAGGCAGTCCTTGCTGCCTCCCCACAACTCATCCACCAAGAAAAGCTTGGAAGTGGGCCAACCTGCTGGAGGTTTCCCCTCAAGCAGCTGTTTAACGCTGTAAAATAACATCTCAAAAGAGTCCATCAGCTCTGTTCCCCAGGGTGGAAACCAAACAATGTGATGACACAACATAATTAATACAGTTACACTTTGTATATATATATATACATTATATAGTAGGGCCTGCAAGGCTTTGGTCAGGCCCAGGCAATCCTGCAACATCCTGCACAAAACCCACTCATTCCCCACTGTTTCCCTGACATGTCAAGGTGAGGATTGATAGGACTTTTGCAGGGGTGATCAGGGACCATTGAGACAGCAGAAGAGGTACCCTTCAAAGAGTCACAAACAGCTACTCTTAGATAATTACTATATCGATATATATCGATATACTGTATACTGATCTATCCATTTCTGGATTGTGTTGGTATTGTTGCTGGATATTTCCCTAGGCCCACTTCTGAGGTGGGTCGGAGGGAGCCGCCCGTCGAAGATGCATGTGGCATGTGAATGAATTGGAATGAAGGTCATGCCGGGTCACCCTGCAAAGGTGCCTCCAGTCATATATCATATGTACCAGTTAGTTACAGTTAGTTCAACCAACCTGGATGGTCAGCCATGGATAGTCCACAAAATGAGGGATGAACTGGGGGTATGCCACCAGTATCTATGGTTGCTTGTAAGGGCAATGCCGGGAGACATTGTCCGTCAAGGCTGTTGAATTGCTCCAGTCCTTTTTGATAACTCATGATACCGCCATTCGAGTCATTTGATTAAGAGAAAAAGGCCATCAAGATTCTGCCATGGCCATGTTGTGGTCCAAGGGACATGGAATACACATGAGTTCTGCAAGATGCGTATGATCTGACCCCTGCGTCGTCTATTATGCTCCTTCTGACGCATTGCTTACGCGAACGCAACGCGTGCTTTCGTGCAAAGGTTGTCCCCGAAGACCTTGCGCAAATTGACGCATCCATTGCGTAGTCCCAAGTGAAACACTTACTCGACGGTCCTTTTTTTCGGATGCAAGGCAAGGGCCATTTCTTAGTGCAAATTGAAAGGTTTCTTGCATGGCTCACGTGATGAACGACCAGGGCAACACATCGGAGGTCCGACTGATGGAATTGTACGACAACGCATCGGTCGGAAAATCCTGCCCACTTGTGTTGATGGCTTTGTTTCCTTAGGCACGGTATATAGGCCAAGCGTATACCGTATAACAAATCAAAGATGTGCCCAATATAGCATGCATGACTACAGAAGTATAAGTATTCACAACTCCAAGATCTCAAAGAAGAAAAGACAATCCAAATAAGTTAGCCCACCCATGTCGCACGAACAGCCTCCTTTGCCCGGCTGCTGTGGCTTTAAGGGAAAGCTCAAGTCCAACTTCTCCGGCAAGAGCGGCATCCTCCACAGCTCCGGCCACGTACCCGCTTGGTGGGAAACAAGAAACCGGGAAAATGAGGATGAGGGGATACTCCCAAATCTCCCAAGCTTGGAATCCTGGAATGCACCGTGTCTCGACAGAAACACCAAAACAGGGTGAGACGGTGTCTCGGGCATCGACTGTGTTCGGTTTTCCTTTCGATGTTGGTCGCCATCCCCTTTTTCGGGTCGAACGTTCCGGATGCGAACGTTCCTGGGCTGCTTTCGACCATTTCCGACCCTCCGAGGCCTATCGACCCATCGACTCCAAAGATTGATCGTTCGGAGATTGGTCGGACCAAGTCGGACTCATAAAGCATTACAGAAAAGTATATATATACTGTATATATACTTATATAATATACTTATATAATATATAAACTGATATATATATATATACCTTTAATTATGAACATATGTGGACAGTCCATCACCTCAGATACTTCTGAGACCTCCAAACCCATCGACCCATCTCTTCATTCTCTTCTGCCGCTTCCCCGCTTCGTCAGACGCTGCTTCGCTCTGCTTCGCTCTGCTTCGCTCCTCTTTGAGCCCTCAGCCACCAAGAGCCACTCCGGCATCTCCGGACATAAAACACGGCCTGGGAGAGGAAGCTCAACGCAAAGAAAGGGGTTTTGTTAATGAATTCGTTTGAAGAAGATGTTCGTTTAGGGTGTGAGATGGGAAGTTTCCTAAGAACATGCAGAGCAACTCGTTCTGACCCGTCTGGTCTTCTTAAGAATGGTGGTGCAAAGCATGAAGAAACACACAAAAGCAATCCTCTGAGCGCTTCTGCAACGAACTGTCGCTCACATTCCGTTTCGCCGGCGATTGTGGCTGGACGGAGGGGACTGGAAGAGAACCCAATTGGATGATTCTGGATGTGGGCCAATGACAGCAAATTCATGTTCCGTCACAAACATTGCCGAACCAATTCGGGCCTCCAATGGGTACTAGGTCCAATGGTCGACACCCCAACTAGCTTGTCTGGTTTGTCTTCACCGCTTGTCTGGTTGAAAATCTAAAAAAGTATTCGAAAGCAACCTTGTACATGGACGTTCTTCTGTTCTCCCCCTTAAAATATGCCCCTGGTCAACTCCCATTCCTGCAGCCTGACAGACTCTTCTCCTAGTGGCTCTGCATCAAGAAGGGTTTGCTCTTCTGCCGAGTTGAAGGGTTCTTGCTCCCGGTCTGCCTCATTTAGTCCCACCAAATCGTCCATGCAAATCCGGTGTCCACTGCGCGGAGGCGCCAAAGAAACAACCCCGAACGAGGCTACTGAATTGGAAATGGATATATAATGATATATATATATATATGAAAACGCCGAGAGAAATATGGAAGTTTCTGGCAACAGGACAACACGACCGCACTCGGTGTTGCTTGTGGAGAAAGAACTAGGGCCAGGGAAGAGTCATGCTCCTTCAAGCTCAAGCGCGGTCGTAAACAGTCGGATGGTGGGAGGCCACAAGTTCTCTTGTAACAATCAAGGCCCAATAACGCCCGACACGAAACGTCTCCAACACAACTACTGGCACAAGAATAGGTGGCACAACGCCTAACTGGTGATGGCCATTTTAAACATCTCATGCATTTCTTTGATCTAATGTGAACGTAGGATTAACACCCGGATTAACATACCCTATTAGTTTGGTCCGCCTCGGGACCTCCAATACGAAATGCCTTGAAGATACCTCCTGGCCCAACACTTGAACATGTTGCACCACCGTTTTTGATGCAATTTTTGCTTCAATGCTAACAGCCTTTCTTACCTTTCTTTGGGCCGCCACTTCCCAGACCAAATGTAGTAGTGATTGCAAGGAATGTGAACTCCTCATTGACACCAACTGTCTAGGTGTGGAATCCTGCGTCTCTTCCAATGGCTCTTCCTTCCATGTCTTCAGCCTCATCCTTCTCGCCGGACTCTCCTTCTCTTGCTCTTGGGCCACAGTTCATTAAATTGCCTAATTAACCAATTTGGCATCCGATTTAGTCTTGGGGATGCCTCCTCATGAAGAGATTTAGTCTTTGGGGCCTCTCCTGATTGACCCCCCCGCCCAATAGAGGTCGAATTATGTCGAATTGCACTTTTCTGACCTACCCCCACATTGCAAACCTTGGGGAGGTGTTTGTTAATACGCGTTCAACTGCCCAAGATTTTGGAGCAAAGGATGTCATTGCAAAATCAAAAAGGGATGAGCATCGTGATGCGTCGTATCATGCCCCCTTTAGAGATCTCAACGAGGTTTATTTCGGGTACTGAACAAATGCCTACATCGTCCTAAAGGCCCTTTGGCCAAAGACAAATGCACCATCAGCTGTGTTCATGGGGTGCGATCATGGTGGTCTGGCCAGCAAATCGTTTTCCGTCTCTCATGGCATCGTGAAAAGGATTCATGGCCGCTCCCCGACTCAGGTGTTAAAGAGTTGTGCCCAAACATGCCCAAACGACTACCCAAACGCTCCATGTGGGGCACACCTGATCCAACATTTGTGCTTGTACCGGTGATTGTACAGTATGTCAGTATGTCATCATAAGAGTCATGTATTTTCCAGTGTGTTTTCGTTTTGTTTAATCACCTGCATGGCATCACCTGGAGCACCCGCAGGATCCAAACTCGCCGGGACCCAACCGTATGAGAGTCACATACCAAAGCTACGTGATGAAGGGCGCGGAACTGTAGATCGTGGTGCCCGCCGACGGGTGGCTCCCGGGGATCTCGTTCCGAGCCCGGCCCTCGTAGCATTTCACGCGGTGACGATGCTCCCGCAGCCTCGCGGCTGGTCGCCCATGCGGAGGAGGCGGGGAGTTCTTCAGGACAAGTCGTGGGAAATCTGGGATAAATTAGAAGCCCGATCAACAACGTGTCCGTGTATGCATATATACTGTATGTATACAATTTTGTTGTGGACAACTGACCCAAGAAATGGAAAACACGACGGTTTCCAAATGTTTTGACTGACCATGCCAGTGCATACTGAAGACTTGCAATCTGGTCATGGATCTGCGCCTGCGCCTCTTCTACCACCTGCCCTTCCCAGCACATCTGCCACCATCCAATCAAAACACACACGCACGTTGTATCTTTCCAACCTGGCCGTTGCCATCCCACCCCTCGGCATCTACTACATGACCCCATCAGGTACATCACGATCATCACGGTACATCCAACTCCGTCCATCCTGCCCTCCCAGGCCTCTGGTGCATCCTTCTGCTTTGGGCCTTGGTGAACTTCACCTTCGCGCCCTCTGCTTCTGCCTCCTCTGCCTCCGGAGAGCGTGGCCTTGCGATGCGTGGAGAGCCGGAGTCGCCGTCCACCAGCTCAGCACCACTGAGCCTTGGGGTCGGATGTGCGGAAGGATGGTGAAGATCTTGGGATGGTTGTGTAGTTTCAGTCTCTTGTGAGCTTAGTTTGTTGGTCTCCCTCGCGCGGTTGGAATACCGTGATCTGACAAGAAAAGAGTGGGATATAGTGGGCCCGGGATAGAGTAGACAAATGTAGACACGACATGACACAACTTCGTCAGAGAAAGTCCAGTGAGGCCTGGAATTTCGACCTCAAACTGGGTCCAAAAGCTGGTGGCCCTTGTCGAAACTGCTTCGTGAGTTCCAAAGAGCAGGCACAGGAAGCATACAAGCCTGTAGGAACAACAGCTTTCAGCCGACTCTATGGACTCTCAAGGTTTGGTTTCGACCATTCTGCATCACACACACAAATATATAGAAATATTGGAGCTAGGTAGCTCTCCTCAAATAAATATAGAGAAGTGAATGCCCTCTCCAAAAGCAGTCCCGTGTGTGTGTGTGTGTGTCCACTCCTGTTTCCAAGGACACTACCCTAGTTTTTCTAATCTACCCTACAAGCTTTTTGTACAGAAGCAGGGGGCATGGCAGCTGTTTCCCTAGCCATGCCAACGAAGCTATGGGATTCAGCCGGAAGGGAATGTGGACGCACATTCCTGTACCTGCTATGTGAACTGTTTTCAAGCTGTTCCACTGTTTAGTCGCTGAGATTTCTAAGTCAGTGCAACGCTGTCTCATACGTTGTTTCCTGCAGTATCTAGATTTAAAGGGCTAATGCACACCGCGAAGCTACCTGAAATCACGCTCCACGGAGCAACCTTCTCAAGTGTGTCTTCGCAGCTTCTTCCCACTGTGGTGAGCTGTGTGATCCCTACGGGGCGCCGTTACCGCAAGAACCTGTTCACTCCTCACCGAGGGAGTAAGTTTCCTGAATTTTCTCTGAAGTCCTTTAGATTGAACTTGACCTGCTCGAAATCAGCTTGGATTGTCTCACCCAGCACACGTGAAGATTACTGCAGAGTTCACTGAAATCCTTTCTGAATCCCACTGCAGAGTTAACTGAAAGAGTTTCACCCGGAAAATCCATTCATACCTTTCCAATCTTTTAACCTTTCAAATCTTTTTAACATTCCAAGTTTTAACTCCTTTTTCCAGAATTTTAATTGCGGTTATTCAGTACACTTTACAATTTTCCGACCTCACGGACCTTTATTTATTTATGTATTTATTTTCTTACATACATACATATTCTCACTGTCTTTGACCTGCCGAGCAGCCATGACGTATCCCTGGCCCTATTCTTTGCCGCCACACATCCATCCACAACCACAACCTGCACAACCTCATTGGATTCAATTTCCACCACAGGCTTCACCACAACCTTTTTCAACACTGCCACCCACTCCACCGCAACACCCAACCTCACATCACTACCCACTGCCCATTACACCTCCACCTCATACTCAATACATCCAACCACATCAACTTCAGGCACATTTTCCAGTGCAACCTACGGCTCCCTTCGACACTACCCAACTTGCGCAACAACATCCACATCTCACAACTCAATCACCACAATCCCAAGCTCACACGCATCTTACACTGCCACTTCAATCTCAATCTCACTCTCAACTACCACCTCATCAACTACATCAACCACATCCACCACATCTACCACATCAACTACCTCCATCACCACACACGACAACTCAAACCCCTGCCACAACATCTTTTCAACCACCACCACTACAAGCACCTGATGTACTACAAGCACCACCACCTGATCCAACACCTATCACTTCACAGCAGTTGACCACACCAACTCCACCACCACCACCTCACACTTCAACAACCTCACCAGCGACTACTCAACCTGCTTCAGCATCCATCAACACACCCGCACAGCCTCCGCCACCACACCACATACCACGCACTACCAAGCCAACACCATCCATTGCACCCACACTCAGCACTACAAGAGGCATTTGGCGTGACCCAGATCGCTCACCACCACGCACACCTGAACACCACCGCTATTCAGCCTTTCCAGCCGTACCTTCTATTGCACCATCACAAGCTACATCCAGATCCAGGAGCCGCACTCGATCACTACGTACCACACGCTCTCCATTACCAAGACGTCGAAGCTCCGCCACACAATCCGTGGCTAGTTCTCAGGCTCAATCCAAACCTGCGGACAGACAAACATCACGATCACCAGCAATCACCCAAGACAAAGCTCACACTTCCATCCACAACATCACTACAGCTGCTACTGCAAAACACACTCCTGAGCCACCTCGCCGTACTTCCAGCATTACACTCAAGCCCAACCCACATTTCACTCCCAAACACTCCACACAACAGACACCTCCACCACCACCACCAGAACCAATACCTGCAATTCCAGTCCAACGTCGACCTCACAACTTACCTCCTCCAACATTCCACCCACCAACCGATCCAGCACAGTTGGATGTCTTTCAATGGCTCAACCGCTACGCACAAGCACTTGATGTCAAGAATGAACCCATGCTTTCATACGTGGCCAAAGTGCTCAGTGCAGCTCATCTCAACAGCACCCACTTTACCGACCTACAACTTCTCACCCACAAAAAATGGTGCGAGGAAACCAACAAAGAAGAACATTATTCCTTCCTACTACTCACAATCCCCACCTTAGCGAGCAGGGGCGACGCCCCGATTCTTCCTCCTACACGGAGAGAGGCGCTGAACATACCACCTATCAAACACATTTTTGCGGCACATGTGAGCGAGGAGGGCAACATCATTTCAATACTTGAAGCAGGAGAACTCGTGCGATCCATTCTGCATGATGCTCATAATGTGGGATATTTTTGTCAGGCTTTCGAATTGTCGAACTACGAGCCTCATGATGCTGCTGAAGCTGCACGCGTCCTCTTCAATGCTTCCAACATGGCCAAGAACCGCAGCGGTCTCATTCTGACGATCAAAGCCTATGGACACGGCCAGAAAGTCACCCATGGTGGCGAATCTGCAGCGAATGACTTGCTGCTCAAAGGAGAGGGGATTGTAAAATACACCCCAGGAAAATGCTGGGTGGCCCATCCCAAACATTCCAGAATTGAAGGGATAGCTTGGAAAAGCGATGCAAAGCCACCGCTCAGTTTCATTTAATTCAATCTATTCCGCTCACGAGGTTCATTTTTCACCCCGTATCTTGGATGACGACCTAGCCTCAAACAATCTCAGCCAGCCTGCTTGATATTGATATTGACTCTGATTTTCGCACACATCGTTGTCAACTTCCTTTTCTTCCGATATATCATTCCTGTACAGATTGATGCCGACAACATGATCTTTTTTACGGTGACTTTTCCAATTTTCCAGACTTGCAGCATGTCAACTTTCCTGGTTGTTATTAAGCTTTTCGAAGAGAGTCACAAGCATTTCGAAGAGAGTCGCAAGATCTCCTGTGATTTGTAACTTGCCCCGCAGCCATTTTGTATTATCTTGAATATTGAGCTCGATCCCTGACGACCGCCGAGCTATATTTGCCTCTCGACGACTACCACGACGATGACTTCCCCTTTGGACACGGCATTTGCCCATCGGCTTCTTTTAGCACACCTTCACGCAGCCACCTCCATTGCTACTACTTTTCAAAACCTTCCACCATTTACACCGCAACTACCACAGCAAGCACATCACCCACTCACTACCACTCCACCTTCTCCCCCAAGACCAGCCAGGCACACTCCTCCTCCATTGCAACCACAGCCGTCTTTCTCACGCAGCCGCAGTCCGCCTCCCGCCAAAGGCAAACCATTCATGGAATGCAAACCAGAACCATCTCCTTCACATACCCCCACTTCACCACATCAGTTTTCACCACACCGCCACAAGTCCAAAGCGACTCACCAACACAAGAACAATACAGACCTCCAGAAACAGCGTACACCACCAATCACAACGATTTCTCTCACCAGTTCCCCCAATACACCTCCACAAACATCACCAGTTCCACCGAATCCGCCACTGCCCACGCCTTTACCACCTGCATCACCAGTACCACCATCAAAACCAGCACACCTCCTCACGGATTCACCACACTATCCTGACAATGGAGGATGGGAACCCAGTGAAGATGAGAAACTTGCGGCCTTTAAACTCAACAAACGATCTCGCCCCAGTTGGAAATACATAGCAAAAGCACTCAACAAAACACCTTTTGACTGCAAAGGTCGATGGCAAGTCTTGCGAATTCTTTATACACCTCAACAGCAAGACAGTCCAGAAGCAGAAGCATCATCGCCACATAAGGCATCTCAACAAGCAGAGGCAACTCCTCCAACCACAAAAGATGCCAGTACGATGACTACAGAACCTCCGGATCTCACCGACAAAGAGACATAGAATACACAACAGCAGTCTATGATCGTCCAGACATTGCTTTCCACGACTTCTTGGTGCTGAAGAACATCACGAACTATTGATGCCTTTGTACTGTATTTTATTGTCAATTCGTACATATTTACATATTGGCTTATTGCTTTTTGTCGTACCAGCAGTTGCGAGCAATAGACTCCAACCCACAACACATCATTACAGCTTTCTTCCACACGCGCAGCAAAAACAAGATCAGTCGCCAGCAATGCACACTTTGCTTGAATATTTGCCACACATGACAAACTCTCGACCACTGAAGCATCGCCAATATTGTGTACAGACCAGTTTATTCCGTCTAATTCATCGTTTCACTGCATCCATGCGAAACACTATTGAATGGTCTTCCTTTTGTTGAACCGGATGAGTTTTTTTGGGTGTTTTTGACCGCTTTGTTACCTCCATTTTGATGCATTTTGATGTACTTGCAGCTCGGCTAGTTCAACTTAGCTCAGCCTCCCATTCCTGTACAGTTTTTGTCTCTCGACGACGACATCGCGATGGATTCAGATCCTGTTGGGACAGACCTCGTTGCTTTGGATGCCCAGATCATTTCACAACTGCGAGATACAAACATTCAGATCAACCGGCTGATGGTCCTTCAAC